CACTGTAACTGACAGATTGTGCATTACATGCCAGAACAAACGCACTGTGATTTGTACAAAAGCAACACGAATAAAATGCTAAGAGATGCCTAAATTAAAACACACCTGACGTGTTTAACAGTCCTCATTATGGTGTCAAAAATGCCAAGTAATAAATGTAGAATACTACAATAGTAGTAGGAGCATGGGCGTCGGACCCATTGTATATGTGTGGGACAAGACCCAACCACTTTTTAAGACCATTGATATTGGACCCACTCACCTTTACTGTCTCTAATTCAGCGCATATGTCTGCTCACTTTTCAGTCACTTGCAGTGATCTAATTGATTACTATTCCCATCTTAATAACGCCGTTACCGTTACAGCCAAAAAATGCGTTAGCCTACTATATTTGATAGGGCTGTGTAACGATACACCAAACCCACGATTCGGTTTGTATCACGATTTTTTTTACGCACAATTCGATACAAACTTCGATGCTTTTGGGGGTGTGGTGACGCGGCGTGACACGTTCATGTAACATGTAAGGGTGGCGCTGCCAATAAAGCACCTAAAAGCTGTCACAAAGAACCGGCAAAAGTAATGATTATGAATATGTCAAATATAGCAAGGAGACATTTTAATTGTTTATTAATAAACAAGTGTTTTTGTGTGTGTCGCCTGCAAAGAGTAGCTTTGCCGTAGCGAACGCGCCAGAGAGAAATGCACATTTCATACGCATTACATAAGCAGAGAGCAGTCTGTTTTCTTTCGTTTTGAATTGTTCTGTTTAAAAGCTTTCTATATATATTTTTTTCCAGGTCTGTGAGGCAAGTAGGCTACCTTATACTTATAGGCTACGCCGAGTTTCGGTCATTTATGAGACGAGAGCATGCGCCAGCGCCTCCGTGATTACTGCCTGCTATATTTACTTCTTATTTATTAAATCCAGGCAATTGGTTGATGAAACATTGATTAAAATTAAGACACAATTAATACAAAACGAAATTCACTTTAAAGAAAGGCTCTGTGCTTTCTGTTTGAGGTCTCTGGAAGTTTTAAAGCAGTCTTCCGTAACGGAGAACTGTCATGTCCTAAGCGCGAGTCTCAGGTTCCTATGGGACATCATGACGTTTAAAACATTTAAATAGACACATCATGTAGTAATTAATGAATATGAATCTTAGTTGATTATAGGCTATTAGAACTAGTTGCTGAGACGGAGACGCGCAGATACGGGAATTAACGCGCTGTTTGATTTGTGATCGTGCTGTGCTTATTCAATTCATTTGAGTAGCCTATATTGAACAAAGCTTAAATCATTTAAATATACTTACAATAATATACAATATCCTATTTGAGTTGATATTACTCTTGCCAAGCTGTGGTTTCTGAGAGATGCACGCATTGACGGATTTGCGCTCGTTTCATTTTTACTCTCACTCATTCACTTCACTCATTATTGCATAGATATTTTAGATAAGGTATTTGGCTTCGGGAACACCCCTAATCTACTAATGGAGGATGACCCACCCACATTTTTTTTGCTTCCGACGCCCATGAGTAGGAGGACTGTTAAAGCTTCTAGATCTTTTGTTTCAAATGCGGTTATAAGTGTAAATACTTATCTGAAACAAAGATAAAGGTACCGTGAACTTTAACAGTATAAAGTATTGTAAATGCTCGGGGTTTGTGATGGTCAGGTGAAACTCGAAAAATTAGAATATAGTGCAACAGTTCATGTATTTCAGTAATTCAACTTAAAAGGTGAAACTAATATATTTAGTATATATAACTATATACATATGCATGATTATACTTTTCAGAGGGGCGACATTTCTGTATTTAAAATCATTTTTTTTATTGATTTCATGTTATATTCTAATTTTCTGAGATTTTGAATTTGGGGTTTTCATAAACTGTAAGCCATAATCATCAAAATTATAACTTTTGCATGATATTCTAATTTTTCGAGTTTCACCTGTATTATAAAAATTGTATGTATGTGAGGTTGAAGCTGCTTAAATTGCCCTGCAAAGGGACAAGAGTTTACTAGTAGTCTGGGAGCTGTGGTAAAGTTATTAGCATCATCATAAGAAGAAGTAACAGTGGATCATCAGCAACGGAACAGATTATTGTGTATTTATTTTGCACCACATTAATCTCAGGCTCATCATCAGAAATCTGTCTGATTTTCCTGTTTGAGTTTATTAGGATTACAGCATCACTGCAGTGTTAAGGGTTTCAGCGTCCCATAGTGAGAAGAAGACCTGAATACACACACACACACACACACACACACCCCTGAGCTGCACTGGGACCAGCGCTTTCCGGTCAGCTGACGAGTAAATCAATACACACATCAATCCATCCTCCAGTGTGTGTGTGTGTGTGTGTGTCTCCAACAGAGACGGTGCAGAGAAAGCTGCATGAATCCCTGCAAAGTGAACAAGCGCACTGGATGGACGGCACAACACAAGTACAAGAGCTTAACTTATGAATATTTCAGATTTGGGAGACTCCTGAGGGGGAACATGCCATTAATGGCCAGTCAGAATTATTTATTAGTTTAGACCACATAAAAGCTAAACAGTTTAGAAAGATGTTAAGGGAACTAATCATTATATAATATTTGAAATTCACCAATTTGTCAAGCTCATTGTCTCCGAATGAAACCTGTTTAGCAGAAGCATTACGTGAAGCGCAGTAATGGCAGCAATATAGCCCTGTGCAATATACCTCCTCATTTCCCCTCAGAAACACTCATCTACCCAGCGGATGTCGGCAGAGAGTGCAATTAGACAATGATGAGGCGTTTTTCAGTGATGGACAGCATCCAGTCTTAGAGAGTCGAAGGAACGATGCACTTTCCTTTTCATTAAAGGGCCGCAAGTTTATCAGCTCCAACAAAAACCTGACATGCAATGATTTGTGAATCAATAACCACGTTTTTTAAAAAACAAATGCTGTAGGCAATCTATAAATGTTATTACATTATGTTAGGTTACACTTTCTTTGGTAACACTTTATTTTACGGTGTCCTTGTTACATGTACTTACCGTAGTAATAACAGTAAATTATGCATAATTACATGCAACTAACCCTCAACCAAACCCTATCCCTATAGTAAGTACATGTAGTTGCTTAATATTACTCAGTTCTTAAATATATAATCACAGTGTAACAAGGACGCCTTAAAATAAAGTGTAACCCTTTATTTTAAGGTGACGTAGTTACGTTGCACTTAATCAATAGTACTCAGTACTTATTTGAGTAACTACATGTACGAGTTACAGTTAGGGTTTGGTGGTTTATGGTTAGTTACGTGTAATTATGCATAATTGACTGTTATTACTATAGTAAGTACATGTGTCACCTTAAAATAAAGTGTCATTTCATAACTTTTTAGATGTTATAAAATAGCATTTATTCCTCCTGTCAGATGACGTGTGCATATGAAAGCTTGCTTACGCCACCCAATAAAAAATAAGTTACAATTCTGACTTTTTTTTTCTCGCAATTGCGAGCTTATATCATGCAATTCTGCAAAAAAAAAGAAAAAGAAAAATTATTCAGTGGCGGAAACAAGCTTCCATGTGTGCATGTGCACTGCTTTTGTAACATTTTTATCTCATAATAAATTACAGATTGTTAATTTCATAGTAAAAACACATTGTATATATGGAGGACTAGGAGTGACAAAATAAATCATTGTAATTTTTTGTATGATAAATATCTGCATTTTAAAACGTGAAAATTTATATCGTCCATTTAAAAATGGATTTATTTCCATTCAACATTTTATGTGTCACTCTTAGTGCTCCGTATATATTGACATTTTATGTAAAGATGTTTTCACAGCGATTCTGAAACGTTTTATTTTGATTACTTTCATTTTTTTACTTTAGGTGTGGTGTCTAAAGTATTTTACAAACGTTGCACTGATACACGTGTATTAGGTGTGACCCTTCAAAACTTCCATGACAGGAGATGGTGATTTTTAAAACACTGGTTGAGTTTTTAAAACCACAAATCTCAGGGTTATCTAGTCCTTCCTTGCAATACGATCCAATCAACTTTCAATGCAAACCTACGCCCTTGATGAAGAGAGAGAGAGAGAGAGAGGTTGGTGGTAACTTGTACCCTATTGGATGGAGGCTGATGGATGGATGAAATGCTGCATTATGGGCACTGCACCTTGGCACACGTTGCGACACGCCTAGAGAGAGCAAACCTGCAAAGCCGGAGAATGTGAATGTGCGAAAACCAAATGCGATCAAGTGTAAATCGATGGAGACAACAGTCAGAGCTTCTGAGACAAAAGAGACAAGCGTTGGGTCATCTGCATCCTACACATAATACTTATGAATCACAAACCTCTTTAATATGGCATGCTTTCAGAGAAATTCTGCACTGAATCGGCATTCACTGGATGCATATCATTAATGTGACTGGATTCGTAAGCTAAACTGTTGTAATTGTGGCCATGCATGTGCTATACTGAAGAGTCTATCTGATGTCCAGTTCGGTCGGATCTGTGAAAGGCACCGCCCAGAAATCTGGATTCACACTCAACGCTGCATTATTATACACTCCTGCATTATTATACTCTATTTTAATGAATGACAGGCAGTGACACACAATACCCCCAAATAAGCCTCGTCATCATTTCAGCAGGACTGTGACCTGTCAGTCGGTCCGGATCAACTTATATGGGCCTTTAGACTAAAGAACGTGCGCGCGCTCACTCGAATCGATTATGTCATCAATAAAAGAACGTTGAAAAGATTCCTGGGGAAAAAAAGAAGAAGAAAGAACGTGCACGCGCGCGCTCACTCGAATCGATTCTGGAAATCAGTGGAATTTCCAGTGGCAATGCGACGAATGCATTATTATAGGCTATATCACTGGAAGATCCACGATATTGCGAGACAGTTCACCTCGCGTGATTATAACTATCTGAATAGCCACATTATAAATGAATCCTGCATGTGCAGAATAATGCATAAGTTGCACTTACCGATTTCATGGCAGAAGCCATATCGTCATATCTCTCAGCCTGCTCGGACAGCCGGGCTTTCTGGACCAGCTGCTCGCGGTCGACCATGTTTAAATCGCGCTTGTTTCGGGTGATATGGGTGTCTTTAGTGAATATGCCGTGGGACGCGCGCGAGCTCCTCTTGCCGCTGCAGCTGCTCTCTCTCTCTCTCTCTCTCTTTCTCTCTCTCTCACACACACACACACACACACTCACTCTCTCTCTCTCTCTCTCTCTCTGCTGAGCGCGTGCCGATGCAACACGCCCCTCCCCTCCTCACGCTTTCACTGGATTGCGTCATCAGTTATGAGGGGGGTGCAGTGACGTCAGGATCACGAGGGGTTTTGCGCGACACTGACTCGATCGAAAATTACTACAAAATGTGAGTAATTGTTCTCTTTGTAAACAGCATCGTGAAACGGTTGTGCATATTTGTAAAATGTATTGCAATAAGTACAACTATATTATTAGTCCCAGAATAATTATAATAATAATGTTTTTTTTATTTGATTAATTTTCTACAAAGCATTTTGCATCGCCGCTAAACTTTACACGTTTTTATGTAAATCTGTTTTGATAGCGTACTGTTTGCACTGTTGAAGTTTCTTCTGATATGTTTAATTTTTAAAAAAATTTAAAGAGACCAATAAAAAAAAAACCAAATCATATTCAATCATATGTTTTTAAATATGTTATTTTGGTGATTTTTATTTTGGACTTCAAAATATCCACGTCATCTGCAGCTCTTAATGTGGTGCGTTAGCGAGAGAGAAGCAACGCACACGGAAAGAGCTTGACTGAAGCGAGTTTGGCTCTAGATACAAATATTAGAGGAAAAAATGGCACAATTATGTCCCGCGGTCCGCCATTTAATACCACTGCTTAATCATCTCAATAATAAAAGGGTTAGTTATTTATTTATTAAATTTGGTTATTAGAATATTGAGAAGTTGCCGTGTTAATTGCTAGCCTTTATAGAGCAAACTGGGGCTATTTGTCATAAAGTTACTCCAGTGAATATTTTTCATGCTTGTTTTATTTTTAAAAGTCATTTTTTTGTATAGACACCTTCTTCTTGGCTACAGAAAGGCTATAAAAAAATTAACAAAAAACATGTCAAAAGAACCAGACTCCCATTATAACTAATATTAAATAGTGAAATACACCTATTACATATTCATTATCAAATTTGAATATGTGAAATATAAAACACAGATGACGACACTTGTATTATGTAGAGCACCTGCTGGAAGAATTAATAATGTGCTGTTTTGAACAGAATATTGTTCTTCTTTTGTTTTGAATAGAAGAAAATTTGAAGAAACAACTTTAGTCCACCTGTAAGAATATATAATAGATTTATAGCACTTTATTTATGGGCAGAAAAAAGGCAAAACATTTAGTTGGTCTTTTAATGATCTTTTTTATTCACAAATCACTGGTCAGGAATTGCACAAATTCTGTAATATAGTCACTTAGAGTCAGTGTTGATCCACTCAGTGTTAATGCCTCCCAGTTCGTTTGAGTTTAATCTGAGACCAAATATTCAAATCTGGACTAAACATGAGCCTGATTCGTTCTCAAGCCACTTCTTGCCTGTCTTTGCAGTGTGTGTGTGTGTGTGTGTGTGTGTGCACGAGCATCGTCTTGTTGAACAAATACATCTCATCATTTCGGGAAACAAGCCATTCTGCATCTATACTCTGAACTTTTTTGTGGTAGAGATGCATGTATTATTATATTTCTCAGCAGATTTTCAAAGACGAAAATTATTTCATTATGATTCATCACTCTCATATTTAGCCAAAAACTTAATTCTGTCTTTGATGTTTTTCTGAGACAGCAATGGCTTTTTAGGTTGTGCATTTGATTAAATTTAGCTAATTTCCTGACCAATAATTTGTGGTTATTAAAATAAAGCTTAGTGGGGGTTTTTTTGCCCAGGAGTGTATATTGACAAAAAAAATGATGACATTTCAGCCCAATATTTTATAAAAGTCTGTACAGTAAAAAAAAAAAAAAAAAAGTGACATCATAAACATTTTCTTTTTTTCTTTAACTTTAGGTTTACCAAATGTTTATTTATATATTATATATATAAAAATCTCAACATAATTTTTGGCCTAAATTTCTTATATCTTAATATACTATTATGCAATTAGGCCAATGACATGGTTTAGTTTCCTCAATACAAATGCAATATTCCTTTTATCCCATTAATTTTCATTCTGTTAATCTACTCAGAAATGATGGAACAGAGACAACAAAAAAAAAGACAGAAAGAAAGAAAGAAAATGAAAACATTTTTTAGCATTGAAACCATTATTTTTAAAATAATCAATCAAACCAATCAAAATGGACCTGAGAATTTCTTTTGATTCTGAGCAGACCAATTCAAACAAATATTTTTGAATAACGAATGATGTTTTGACATTCAATAAAATGTTAAAGATATTCAGATAAACTTTAGGATATGCAAGAAAATGTATCTTCAAAACAGAATTTTTTTACGTTTACTTCTAGCATTCAGTTCCACTTTAAGTATCAGTGTGTTGCAATGTGTTGCTTGCAGTCTATATCAAAACGCCTAAAGAGAGAGAGTCTAAAACTTTGGTTTCCACTGTATATCAATAGCCTCAGCTTATTTATTCACCTATGTGTACACGTTCGTATAGTTTATAAAGTGCATAATTCGAATTTTCATTCATAATATTTATTACAGTTATTTATATAACAGTAGTAGCATAACTTATTTTTCATTGTTTCACACCGAAATAACTATTTCATCTTTAAAATCTATTCTTCAGGGTTGGCGTGAGGTGTTATGTACAAAATTTATACAAGTCCTGTAGTCGATGCTATTCCTATCCCCTTCCTATTGGATCAGGCTGGTGGGCGTGGCTTGAGGTGGGCGGAGTCATTAGAGTGAACATGTGACGCTGGCGTCCTCTGAATGGTCACAGTTGTGGACGTTCCATGCTATGTGAGAGCACCGAATGAGAGTATCTTCTGCGCCTGTGCATTTCAGATTGTCCAGGTGGATTGTGCCACGGCCGGGACCGAAGTAGGCCAGTACCTGTGCGCTTCTAGGCAGCCCGCAGCCCATCTGCCTACACACCACCTTAGCATCTGTCAGATCCCAGGCGTCATCACACACGGTACCCCACTCCCCTCTCAGGTACATCTCCACACGACCCTCGCAGCGGTGCAGGCCTCCCACGAGCCTGATGGTAGCTTGAGGAGAGAAAGAGAGAGATCTGGATAAGATGTGTGTTTGTTCAAACCAAGAGACAACCTTCCCGTCTCTCTCTTGAGTCCAACACGGAAGTGACTTAAACTGCAGTTCCTCCACTGGCCACTAGAGGCCGGCTGCAGAAGAGAGTCAATCCCATAGACCCCCATGTTAAAATGCCCAACTTTACAGCAGAATAAAACATGTTTACAGCCTGGTGCAAAAAGTGGTTTTGGTCTATATAGCTAATTTTGCCCTTCGTGATGACTGTGAGGAGGGTGAATTTTTTCATAACTCATCCGTTTAAATTATATTAAGCCTTAAAGTTCTGCATAATTAAGGGCGTGGCCATTTGAGTGACAGGTGGATTGCCGCTGATGTCACTACTAGCCGTTTGTCTACTGTCTGTTAGCTTCACATGACCTCAGCTATTTGTGACTCTTTGCCCATTTTCTGTTATCCGGGAGTGACGCGCTGCCAAGATGGTGACGGCCGCCCACTTTGGGCTTCAAAGATACTCTTCGGAAACCATCGGGTGACGTCAGGGACCATATTTTTTTACAGTCTATGGTTGAAATACTATTCAGTAAGTGAAAATAGAAAATAGAGACTTGAAACTTTGAGAGATGGTAGTACCCATCCTGTCTACAATGTCTCTGAGGCTCGCCCCAATTGGCCAGACGGTGGCGCTAAAGGAAAAAAAAAAACGCTCGAAATTTTGGGGTATTTTGGATTATTTGAAAAAACTACTTTTGCAAACTAGTCCGATTGGAATTAAACCAGTTCAGTAAAATTCTATGGAGTCTGATTGTCAATATTTATAGAAAAAAAGTAATAATTTCGATTCACGGTCGCAACAGGACGCCAAAACCGTCGTAGAGGGCGGGGCCGCTTTTACTAAAATGGCTTTAACTCTTAAAAAGGAATGAGATATTTTCACCAAACCCGGAAGATGTATGTATGGACTTAATCTGAGGTCACAGTAACAAAATCTCTGTGATTAGCCACTTGGTGGCGCTATAACAGGAAAAAAACTTGAAAATGGCTGAAACTCGCAACCGTTATTCCGATTGACTTGACAATTGGCATGCAGTTTCGTTGTGTAAGGTGCCACGTCTGTCTATGAGGACATTTGCGTATCTCGAAAAACATGGCCGCAATCGGCCAATTAAATTTGAGCACCTATTAGACAAGCTTAACGGAGGCTGATTGGCACAAAACTCAGCGGGCTAACGAGTTTTACGCCTCAGTAATTACGCATACACACAATATGCATATCATATGTTAGACCTACTCATTCTGAACAACTTTGCGTCAAGAACCACTGCGGTCAATCAAATAATTCGTTAAATATTTGAGAATATTTAAAAAACTGCGAACTAGTCCTAGATTTTCCGCTTAACCTCAATAAAACCACTGTAGTACAATTCTCTAGGTCAATAATTATATATATATATATTTTTAACTTTACCCTTTGGGATAGCTATAACAGACTCATTTAGAAAAGGGGCATAGCAAAATATACTCAAAAGCCTATAAATCCTAAACGAAAACTCAGCATTTCCCGAAATTTGGTGAGAACATGCAACATATGATTCTAAAGAAGCATGCAAACCTTTATGGAGATCGGAGTATAGGTGGCGCTATAACTGTTAAAAAGCTTTAAAAAAACATATATTTTCCTTAGTAAATTGACTGTATTGGTTGTAAATGGTCTTTTCCATCTATGATCTAGATGGTTACAGGCTTGCTAAATAAAACATATTTTTATTATGTGCTTAAAGGCTAACTTAAAGTGCTTAAACCCCGATAATTGCTGCTCAAAACTATATTAAATATAAAATACACATACTTTTTGGCCAAATTTCTTTCCAAGCTCATAAAATAACCACCTAATATAATAAAGGGGTTATGCAATTATGCCAGTGATATGGTATCCCATTATGTGCTTACCTTCCGCTGGTGTCGTGGTTGTAGTTGCAGTTGTAGTTGTAGTAAGTCCCTCTGTTATCCCTACGCCTAAGTCTCTTCCTATTACCGGTACCTCAAATTCCAAAGGCGCTGAAAAATAGAAAACACAAAAACTTACATTAGAAGATTAGGTTAAATTATTGTGGTTAACTTTCGTTTACTGTGACTAAATCAACTCTTTTAATGAATGTGTTTATTTATCTATATATTTACAATGCTACATATGACATGATTTATACATATATGTTCACTGTTTGTTTTATTATTTATATTTAATATGCTTTGGCAACATTGTGTTACACAGTCATGCTAATAAAGCTAATTTGAAATTGAATCCCTAACTTGTGGTTCTCGTCCTAGAATGTAAAACAATTTTTTTAAGTTGTAGAAACTAAGATAATTGGAGTATGTTATACAAGAAAATAATATTTTAAAATGTTACTTTTTAATTATTTGTGAAATATATCAGAGAAAACACTTTTTTCCCAGTGTATGAGAGTGCTCTAAATGTTGACACGTTTTGTATCTTTATCTCATGTTTATTCGAGTCTTTCCCTCTTCTATTAGACACATGCATGCATATATTTATGCGTTAGGGATGCACGTTGCCTGTACAGACGGACCTCTTTACTGTTCATGCAGATATGGCCAACTCTTATACAGAGGATGTTGCTGAATGCAAATGCTGATCTTGAGTCAGTTTTGTGATTTCCCTCTTTCTCGGTGGTTTACGTTGGGATTTCAAAAAGAGACAGTGGCCAAATAAATGTAAAATGGATGTTATTTTGTATGTTGTAGTTTGAGAGTATTGGTAATTGAAGGAACAGTGATATACGTGTGTGTGTGTGTGTGTTCTTAGTGAAATGCTGGTGTAGTGAATGAATGAATTTCATGAATGAAGGACACATGCATGTTTGTGTGCATAGACTGACCTATGAATATACAGTTGTAATCGAAATTATTCACCCCCCATTGCAAATCAGGGTTATTGGCAAAATGTACAGACTTTCAGTTGTTTGCAATGAATAAATCAAACAAAAGTAAGTGAAGTAGCTCAACAAAACAAACGTTTCAAGTGGTTTCCCCACATTTAACGAAAATGCAACTTTTAATGACTTCTGCAGTCTCCAAATCATTCAACCCCCTGAAAAGAATCCCTCACAACAGCACACATCTGCAGAACAGGTGTTGTCTCAAACACACCTGATGCAACTAACCAAGGGCGTCGTTAGTTGCACCAGAGCCCGTCTACGGAGAGCCTGGCCACTCCCTATTAAAGCTGCAGTCGGCAAGTCTGCCAGATTGAGTGGACTTAGGCAAAATTTTGAATGTTTACAACTCTCATGCCCCTCCCCCACTATCAACGGATACCCTCCCACCGAGTTCGAGCTCGTCAGTGTGTGTGCACCAGGTTATCTGTGAATGCGCCGTCTCATCAGCATCCATCAACACCATGGAGTATTTGGAGGTTTGCTGTCCTGGCTAATCTACCGATAGATTGCAATTGCTAATGTCATTTATACTCTAAATGAGCTTACTTGATTTGTTAGTGTTTTGAAAGCGAGATACATCCGCCATCACTCTTCATTACTGCGCGAACTTCAGGCGTGTGCATGTGATTGTAAGGTGCGCGAGGGGTGGCGTGTGCCCGATCTGTGATTGACAGTCAGATCTCACACCCCCCTGCGCTGATTGGACCCGATGAACCGGGAGCTGTGGATTTTTGCAAAACAAATAACACGCTCCAGGTGGAGTTAGAAGCTCGGGTTTTTTTCTAAAACCACTTTATTTATGTTGTTCTGTCGGATTATAGTGTCGATTTCACTGAATATGATCAAAAAAATGTTGCCGACGGCAGCTTTAAGTCCTATTGTACCGAATTGTGGTTGTAGTTCCACCAGAGTTCCACTGGGGGCGATCGCCCATGAGTGCAAAATGAATGGGAGTCTATGGAGCTAGACGGCTAAATGTGTCTCTTTCACCTGTTTGCCGTTGAGAAATCTCAGATTTGATTGTAGGTTTTGCAAGTTCAACATGGGTTATAGGTCGAAAGTTGAATGAACGAGTCCTTTCGATTTCTTACAGGGTGAGTTGTTGTTGCCCATAACACGCTAGCATTTTGCTAATGGACGCTGATTGGTCAGTGAAGGACTGATTACGACCAGAGACACCGCTTGATGGCATCGGGGCATCCGAAGCGGGACCAGAATGTGAAGAACTTTAGTTTTACAAAAACTCTCCTAACACGTGTATTACCCGTGTCAGCTGTCTCGAGAGAACAGAAAGTGCAGAGCGCGAACGCACCAAAGTGACTGAAGGATTGCCGTAAAGCAGTATATCTGGTCGTACGATGTGTATGACGTCATTGACATTTTAAGACTTTTTAAAGCAAATAAGTGACTCTAAAAAAATCTAACACCCAACAATGTGTAATTTCTTTGCATCTCCTTTCGAATACAACATTCAAATTACTAG